TTCTCTACGCTGGAGAGCAAGTTTCAGAGTCTCCTCTGACATCCATTTTGACCTTTTCCTTCTTTCTTGTCTTCTTAATGACTTTTTGCTCTCATCATGTATGATGTTCTTAATGTCATCCCACAACTCTTCTAGTCTTCGGTCTTTAGTGTTTAATGCATCAAATCTGTTCTTCATATGATCTCTGAATTCAGGTGGGAAGAAGTCTTTAGTTAGTGCACAAAAATTGCACACATCTCTTAGGTTCTGATTTAATAAGAGGTCATGGGGGTGTAAATTTAACCAGTAACCTGAGGTGACTTTATATGCACAGTGTACCATCTACTCTCTGAGGAATGCTAAGTCATGGAGTCCCTGTGTGGCAGAGAAGGTTAGCACACTTGACTGCTAACCAAGTGTTGGAGGTTGAAGTCCACACAGAAGTACTCCAGAAGAAATATCTGGCTATTTCCAAAAAAATCAGCCATTGAAAACCCTATGGAGTACAGTTCTACTCTGACACACATAGGGTGGTCGTGAGTCAGAATTGGCATGATGGCAACTGATAGTGGTCCTTAGCCACAAGCTTCTTGAGAGCAGACATCTGTTTTATCAGACTGCTTGCATATAAACCTGGCAATAGATGCTGAGGGACTGATTGAATGAATGAATCCAACTGTCACTCTGCAAGAGTTTATTACTGCTCCCCTTTGAAATGCTAACCAGCTACACCTGTTTAAGAGCAGTGCAAAACACTTTCGTAGTTTTTTTTTTTTTAAATCCTTAATCCTTTATCAGAAGTCCTGGTATGGTGCTGCAGGATAATGCACTGGACCACAAAAGTCGGTTTGAACTGCAAAGTCAGCAATTCAAATCCTCCAGCCTTTCCTCAGAAACCCTAGACAGGGTCATTATGAGTCTGAACAGACTTGATGGCACTTAGCAATAACAACAGCAATCCTTTACCAACCCTTTCACTGCTGTTGTTGTTGTTATTAGCTGCCTTCCAGTCAGTTCCAACTCATAACGACCCTATGCACAACAGAAACCCTGCCAGATTTTGCAACATCCTCACAATTGTTGTTACCTTTAAACCCATTGTTGTTGCCACTGTGTCCATCCATCTCATTGAGGATCATTCAGCAAGCATGATGTCCTCCAGGAACTGGTCCCTACTGATAATACGTCTAAAGTATCAGAGACGAAGTCTGACCATCCTGGCTTCTAAGGAACCTCTGGCTGTACTTTTTCCAACACAGATTTGTTTGTTCTTCTGGCAGTCCATGGTACTTTTAATAGTCTTCAACACCATAACTCACATGCATTAATTCTTCTATGATTTTCCTTATTCATTGTCTAACTTTCCAATGTGTATGCTGCAATTGAAAATACCATGGCTTGGGCCAGGCACACCTTAGCCCTCAAACTGGCATCTTTGCTCTTGAACACTTTAAAGAGCTCTTGTGCAGCAGTTGAGTAATGCAATATGTCATTTGATTTCTCGACTGCTGCTTCCATGAGTGTTGATTGTGGATCCAAGTCTTGGACAACTTCCATCTTTGCTCCATTTATCATAATGTTATTTATTAATCAAATTGTGAGGATTATTATATACATTGAGGTACAATCCATAATGAAGTCTGTGGCACTGATCTTCATCAGTAAGTATTTTAAGTCCTCTTTGCAATCATGGTTGTATCATCTACTTATCACAGGTTGTTAATGAGTCTTCTTCCAATTCTGATGCCACATTCTTCTTCATATAATCCAGTTTCTCAGATTATTTGCTCAGCATACAGATTCATTATGTTTGGTGAAAGGATACAACTCTGGTGTACACCTCTCCTGATTTTAAACCATTCGGTGTCCCCTTGTTCTGTTCTCAAAACTGTCACTTGGTCTATGTACATGTTCCTCTGGAGCAAAATTAAGCATTCTGGGATATCCATTCTGCACAATGTTGTCCATATTTTATTATGATCCACTGCCATTGAGGTTACCAAAACAACAACACCAACAACAAACCCACTGCCATGGAGTTGATTCTGACTCAGAGTAACTCTAGGCTGTAAATGTTTATGGGAGCAGAAAGTCACTTCCTTCTCCCTCAGAGCAGCTGATGGGTTTGAACTGTCAACCTTGTGGTTACAGTCTAGTGCTTATCCTACAGCATCACCAGAGTTCCTTGGCATTGGGGTTGGGGAGTGGTAAGGGAGAAAAAGAGACCCCCATATGTGGATATATAAATATTATCATGCTGTAAGATAAACAGTGAACTGCTATCTGCAAGGTCAGTGGTTCAAACCCACTAGCCACACCTCAGAAATCCATACAGAGTTGCTATGAGTCGGAACCAACTCAAAGGCACTTAATAACAACAACAATAGAGACTATTAGGTCTTAAAAAGGAGTGAAAACAAGACAAAGACAAGTATCACTGGGGTGAGGGAATTCATAAAAGTCGCCATGATGACTTTTTATAATTCTATAGGGCACAGAGAACAAAGGAATCTCTTCTCATAATCATGAATGTGACAGCATACATGTGTCACATACTCATGCCAGACTTACAGAAGGCAGAGAGGGACTATTGCAGATTGGAAAGCTTACAGTCTCTGAAGCTTCAGAGTGGGAGATCATAACCGGTGACCTTTAGAGGATGTGTTCAAGAATGTTCCTGTGAGGGCTGGCTGGGAGGAGTGGCCCCATGCCCACTTTTAAATATACTCTGTTTCTAAGTCTAGTAGTTCAACTGCCAAAGGTTCATGAGGTACGCAAGAAAAATTGGCATCTGAACACTTAAACCTCGGCACAATATGGAATAAACCCTGTACAGAGTCGTTATGTGGCACTGTGGGTTAATGTGCCAGACTTCAGAGCCATTTGAATTGCAAGGTTGGTGGCTCAAGCTCACCAGCCACTCCTCGGAAACCCTATCCAGGGTCGCTATGGGTTGGAACCAACTCGATGGCACTTAACAACAACAACAGAGTCACTATGAGTCAGAACCAACTCAACTGCACTTAATAACAACAACAAGGCTGGAGTAAGCACAGCGCAGGACTGGGCAGTGTTTCATTCTGTTGTGACTAGGGTTACTCTGAGTCAGAACCAATTCAACAGCACCTAACAACAATAGGCTGGCGTTGTTCACAGGAAAACATCTTCAGATTTCACGCTCTACAGCAGGAGTATATTCATTTTCTCAGGTTGTTTTAGTACCATTACCAAAAGTTGGTGACTTAACAGAAATTTATTTTCTCAAAGTTCTGTATGCTGTAAGTCCAAACCAGGGTCTCAGCCATGTTGATTCCTTCTATGAGCCTCTTTCCTAGTTTCTGGGATCTGCCAATGATTAGGGTCTCTTTACTTGTAGGCATACCATTTGTAGACTTCTGTCTTCTCCTGTGTGTCTCTGTGTCTTAATATGGTGTTTTTATAATTAGGAGGTTTAAGACCTACCCTACATTAGCATGACCTCAACTGATTTGATTACATTTTATTAGATGAAATTATGAAAGGTAATCTGCTTTAACCCAAGGTCAACTGATTAATGATTAAAATCACCTGTTACTTACTCCATGACAATAGCAAGACTAGTTTTTGGTCATACCTCTTGGAACCAATGCCTAGCCAAGTTGACACATAAAATTAACTATCACTGGGAGCTACAAAGCTTGTTTATTATTCCTCTACTGGCAACATCAATAACAGAATCCAACCCAAGAGATCAGGTGAGGTTGACACTAAAGCTCAGAGACAAATAGCTGGGGATATCCATTGTATTTAGGGAAGAAAATCTCTCTGTGGATGCTTGCTCTAGGAATTCCCCAGGCAGAGGTAGTTGCAGCTACTTCAAAAGTTCTTTCTGGAGTGGAAAGAGTCTTAAACAATGAGTGTTGGAAGAAGGTGACTTAGAAAATTATATATGTTGGTAGTGTTGCAGCCTGACAGACGCAATTAATGGTGGAAAGGCTTAGCTGGCTTCAGCTCCAACTCTGCCATTTACTAGCTTCTGACATTAATAATTAAACTGCTGGGGCCTCCCTTTCACCAACTGTAAAATGGGGATAATGTGATTTGGCTTACAGAGCTTTGTTGAGTATTGAGAAAAGTAATATAAGAAATGCACAGTGATTCTATGACATTAGGCGATCTGACAGAGTTCTCACGAGGGCTGGGAGTCTGGACCTGGGCTGACCAATGGTTTCTATGGCAGTAGAGGGGAAACATAGACACACACGTACACACAGGCATGCATTCATGCACATACGCACACACACATATACAAACACACCTTCATCCACTTCTAGAAAAGCAGAAGTGGTACCATCTCCTGCCCTCTGACTCTGAAACCTCCCATTGTAATAGAATGTTTCCAAAGGGAGAAGATAGAGTAACCTGGGGCCATGCCCTCCTACTTCCCTCTTCTCTGAGCAGAACTCAGCAACCAAGCTGCTAGGAAGCCTGTGTTGGGGAAGTGGGAACTGAACTAGCGTGGGTGGCTGGAACTGAAACATTTCTTTGACCACCCTTCTATTCCACCACCCCTTTCTCTTCTGTGCCAGGGGTGGAGGAGAAAGAGTTCATGCCTGTGCTGTACCCACACACACTTGGATCTGCTCTCCCCACCTCCGGACCCTACAGCATCATTCATCAAGATTCATTAAACGCCCGAAGGGCTCATGGTTCTGCTCTAAATGCTTCATCCAGGACCTCCCAGTTAGACCCTAAGGGATGTGAGCCAATATTTGAGATCTTCTTCCAGCCCATGAAGACCAGTATTTAACCTACCATTCTACCCCAAACCCCTTTGCACTCCTAGCCAGAGAAGTATGTTTTAAGTTGAGTGGTAGAAGATTTTATTTAAATGATAAAACAAAACAGCAAAAAAAAAAAAAACAAACAAACACCTATAACTCTTATTTATGAACCTCACACTACCTTCTATACTGATCCCCTTATTTCTGAACATTTACTAATAGGAGAAGAATTTGGACTGGTTTCCTCGGATGCGAGCCATGTCCCTCGTTAGCAATGAAAGTGACAGTGAGCAAAATGAAATTCGGAACCTGCAGGAGAAGTTGGAATCGACCATGAGTCTGGTGAAACAACTGTCAGGTCAGCTGGCAGAGCTGAAGGAACAGGTTAGTGCACTGGTGGGGTGGGGAATATTCCTCACCTGGGTACATGGAGGTCCAGAGACTCTGGTGAGAGAATTGCTATCCACAGAGGGTTGTCTTCCACTTCTCATGCCATGGATGAAGCAGTAGTAGCTGTAGTAAATCAAACCCACAGTGTGCTACAAAGCCAACTTATCAGCAAGCAGAGTCTTCTACTGATCCTACCTCCTTATCTTTGTGAGGCACTTCTCCTTCTCCAGAAGGGGAAAGGAAGGAGCAAGTACCAAAATACAAGAGGCTTTCTGTGCTTCTTGATAGAGAATCGTGTTTTCTGCCATCATAGCAATGACTAAACTCATTAGAAAGGTAGATCACCATTCATTATCTGTCACTTCAATGCTGTAACCAATATCCAGACAATGCAGAAGTGTTCGCATTGTTCAAAGTACTGTCAACACTGTGAGAGCTACTAGAATGGCTAGGGCAATGGTGATGATGACAAGCAGGTTGTTTTAAAAGACTCAAGGTTCCCTGGTTCCTAACCACAAAAAGTTGTTCTTTCTCTTTGTTTATGGAAATTTCAACTTAAAAAAAAAATGTTTCCCCTTTAGAAACAAACAAACAAATTGTATCCTAAAAAAGTTGCCAGACCAACTTTAGGAGCTTGGGAAACAGTCACCCCAAACTGTTGTGACTCACCAGCAGTGGGGAAGAGTGTACAAATCAGCTCAACACACTCTTTTTTTTTTTCCCCCAGATGACAGAACAAAGGAAGAATAAGCAGAGACTGGGCTTTTTGGGATCAAACCCACCCCATGTGAATCATCACATGCCACCACACTGATAGCATGGGGTGAAGCCGTGACTAGCCTTTCATCAGCGCCTTGCTTGATTCCTGAATAAAGAACTGAGATGGAGGGGAGTGAACAGTGCCTATTGTTGAACAGTTAAAAACAACCAAGTGCCAAGATGTTAAGTGGTTTAGCTCTGAGAACAATTTCTAACTCTGTTTTCATGGTTGAGAAGACCAAGCCTAAAATGCAGCAGCTAGGAAGCAGGCAGCACGCATTGTTAATGCAATGTGAAGGGACTGGCTCAAATGGATGGAGGGGGCAGGGAGGGCAGGGGGCACCAGAGAGACAGGGTAGATATAACTACCTTTTGCTAAATGGAGAAGAGTCGGTTTTGTCTTAAATGCTGGCAGCAGCCTTTGTTGTGGTTGGTTGGGATTTATTTCTTTTAATTGCAGCATGTAAGTCTGTGATGTGGGAAGTAATACTTTGGTGGCTATGTTTTACTAAGGAAAATAACTGAAAAAGATTAAAAATGGAAGTTGAAAAGAAAAATGTTAATGCTTCCGCACTGTAGCTGTCCCAGGGCAATTTACTTATTGATGGCATGAAACACAAAAGGTTTACACACTGGAAACTTAGTGCTTTGGTGCTTCTGCCCCTCCCACTGACAGAACTGCTGGAATGTGATGCTTTTCTCCTAGGCTCAGAGGGGCTCATCAACATGGAGATTTTCACAACAAAGGAGATTCTCACATAACTTGTTAAAAACATGCTTTAAAACATACATAGTCTTAAAAAAAGACTTTGGGGGAAAAAGCTGACAGTAAGCACCAGGGAAGAATAATATTAGAACATATGTATGCTATTAAAATACATTGAGATTAATAAATGGAAAAGCTTAAGGTGACAGAAAATATTGAGAATCTTACAATAGTGGCATTGCCTTTTAGAAACAAGGAGTAAAAATGATTTAATTCCTGTTTTCTCTCTTTAAGGAACTAAGCGATTTTTAACCCCCAATTTATTTATTTATTTATCCTAGCCCTGAAGTTAGGGGGAAAAAAATTCAAGAAAAAAATTTGAACACTGAAGAAAACACAGCATTCCAATTGCTTTATCTTCCACTCTCTTGGTAAGAGGTTGTGAAAATGTAGAAAGATAATAATTGTTTTCCCAAATTGTGTTTTATGTGAAATTGTGCAACCAGGCTTAGTGGAGAGAGAAAACTACTGGGCATGCTCAAATTATTCTTAGTGGGAATCCTGGTGTAGTGCTGTGGGTTAATGCACATGTGAACAGCAATGCTGGTTTGAACCACAAGGTCAGCAGTTTAAGCTCACCAGCCACTCTTTGGAAACCCTATACAGGGTCACTATGGGTTGGAACCGATTCGATGGCGGCACTTTAACAACAACAATGACACACATTTAGTACAACAGAGCAAAGCACAGATAATGAAGACGTTCAGAGAACTGGTTTCCAGGAAGGGGAGCGAAACCCATGGCACTAGTCTCTGGAAGAAACTGCAGATTAACATTCTGGCTCGTGCCCCACACAAAGACACCAAAAAGAGTTGTCTCCAGAGTTTGTAGACTCTCATTTATTAACACCAAAGTTTAAGATCCTGATAGGATTTGCAGTCACAGTTTCAAAGTTTTGGGATTTGTCTAATATTGACTAAGCTATTCGTTCCTAAAAATCTCAAGTGATCATCTGTAGAGAATGTAAAGGAAGCTGGGACCAATTCTTCTTCTAATTAAAATGTAGACTTAGAACAAAATTGTTGGAACCCAGAGAATGAATTTTTGGACTGAATCCACTGATACTCTGTGTACCAGTTTCTTAATTTGATGTGACAGTAATTGATGAGAGGGTACCAAAAGTTGGTGTTGAAGGTTAATGGAATTTTTCCATAAATTTTTTGAAGCCCCCTTGTATTTTTTCTGACCAATCGCTGAAGGACCATGCTAACCATGGTACACAGATAATAAAAAATTGAGACATTTCTGCATTCAGCTAACAGCTTTGAACCTATCCTTGAGGAATTTGATTGTCATTTAATTATCCTTAATTCACTATTCAATTAAAACTTTAGACTGCATCATATATTTGTTTTTAAATGGCTTTACCCAAATCAAAGTAGCACAGCCATTTTTTAAAATTCAAGATGATATTTACTTAATGATATTAGATAAAGAATATTAAATACTTTAAAGTATTTTTGATAAGGCAGAAAGTTTTACAAATGGGGTAAAGAAAAGAAAAGTTGTTAATACAGATAATATTCCAATCTAGGAACATATATCTATTTCAACATAAAAATAAAACATTTCTGTTGCTCAAACTAAAGGTCAAGAGAATAAATTAATTTGCACTGTTGTGAGCAACCTACTTTCAGAAGATGAATTCTTTAGTCTCTTCAGCTGCCTGGTTGTCTTACAGGGAGTAAGACATTGGGTAAATGACTGCATTCTAGAGACCCTAACCTCTCCAACTACTGTTGAGTAGAAACCCACAGGTTTATAGTATTTTTTTCCTCTGTGGAAGTATCCAAAAGAGTTACTATCTAGCAAGACTATTTTTGATCAAATATTTAAACGTTCTCATATGTGTTTTTAAAGCCTATTTTTTCCCTAGTTAAATTCTTAGATCTTATAAACAAAAAATAAACAAGCAAAAAAAGACAATTTCCTAGAGCATTAAATTCACTATGGGAAAGATAGTTGTGAGAAAACTTGATATTTTCTAGAAAACTAAACCTACTTACATATATATATGAATCCTGGTGTGGCGCTGTAGGATCACCGCTGGACTGTGGATCACAGAATCATCTGTTTTCAAACCCACCAGCTGCTCCTTGGAAACCCTATACAGGGTCACTATGAGTCAGAACCAACTCGACCATACTTAACAACAACAACAAATATATTGGTATATAGTGTATATATAAGGAAAACTGGTAGTATAGTAGTGATGTGTTGGGCAGCTAACCCACAGGTCAGCAGTTTGAATTTAATAACCACTTTGCAGGAGAAAAATCAACTTTCTGCTCCCATAAAGATTTACTGCCTTGGAAACCCTAAATACAGTCACTCTGAGTTGGAACTGACTCAAAAGTACACCACTACCAACATATATACATATATACGTGTGTGTGTTAATGTAACTGGAATATTTGACCTAGGCAATTAATGCCCTTATATTTGTATGTTGTTGTTGTTAAGTGACATTGAGTTGGTAGTGATATTAAAATAAATACAGTAAGAAAAATGTTTAATATTTAGTTATTAACATCCACATTGGTTTACCAGTTTCTGCTAAGTATAACTTTTAATTTCAAAGTGGTTTTGTTTCACTATATGATCCATTATGAAACCCAGGAGTTTAAATGCTGGATATTGCATTAAAATAAGATTTTAAAACATCATTTGTAGATGAGAAAATTACATCACATAAGGCTATAATATTCATAAGCAAGTTTTGTATATTTAAAAATGTATCATATTTTCTACCCCTTAAAAAAGTTATTTTCTATTTTTCTGTTGTTAGAATGCAGTTTCTAGTTGACTGTTGATCATATCAGAAAGACATTTCATTCAAGTTAGAACTAACTGAGTGCCTATTCCTGTATTCTCAGCTCATGACTCAATGTTTTGGCAGTTCCTTTATTTTACAGTTTTATAGCAAACAATAATGTAGTATAAACTACCCCTCACCCTCCACCTTCCCGAAGGGAAATTGCATGGAGAAGCTGGTGAGCTTTGGGGGAGAGAGAAGTAGGAGCTTCTGCTTCATAGTACACTACCAATAGGGAAAAGAGAATAAACTTTAGACAATAGAGGGAAAAAAAAAGAGACTTTACTCTCTGGTAGACTTCAATTTAGTTAGTAAATATTGCACAAGTATTATGATATAACAGATTACAGATAAAAAATAAACCTTAAACATGCAGAGAATAATGCCTTATAAAAGAAAACCGAACCAAAAACAACTGCCTTCGAATCGATTCTGCTTCATAGTGACCCTATAGGACAGACTAGAATGCCTTATAAGGTTTCCAAGCTATAAATCATTTCAGAAGCAGACTGCCACAGGTTTCTCCTACTCAGAGCCTGGTTGCTTTGAACCACCACTGTTTCCATTAGTATCCACTGCACCAACAGGGCTTCACTTTATGCAGCTATAAAACAGCTTACTCCCCATAGTGGTCATTGAAACTATATGAAATGACAGGCCAGCATAGTTACCCACAAACCCATTCCAATACACTATTAATGAATGATACAATGCAAAACAGTGGAGCGCTTCTTAAACACAAACCCAGATGCATACAAAGCCCAAAAAAGTAGCCAAAATGCTGTGTGGAACTGCAAGGTGCACCACCATGTGTATGGAATGGGGAGGCTATGGTGAGCATCTTGTTTTCAAAAGTTGGTAAGTTCCATGTTTAGAACATGCCTGAGGCCAAATGAGGTCCATTAAGCAACCAACTGATACATCTGAAATAAGAATTGATAAAACTTTACCATTTGATAGGAAAAACAAAGCCACACACACATATAAAACACCAAAATCAAACAAAGGAGCTGAAATACATAAGAAAATTGGAAAATCTGTAACTAAATCCAGGTATCATCACTGAACTGGAGTGTTTCCATGGACTTGAATAATATATGAAATTATCATGCCAGTACTTCTCGTATTGCCACTAGACTTTCATTTTCCTGGAGTAGAGGATTAATATATTGGCCTCGATAAACTTGATCTAATATTACATGTCAAGACCAGATTAGTGTAATTTATAAATTAATATTAATAAACTTGGATTTGCATAATATTTTTGTATGTGATGCTTTAACTTCTTTATTCATCTCTTACCACGTTTCCAAACAACAACTTCATTGGTACGAAAAGGCATTATTAATCCTATTTTATAAGTGAGTTATGAGGGACTTGAACTATATCGATGCGCAACTCCTGATGGAGTGATGTGGCCGGGGTTATTGGGAGTTAGCCAAATCCCCAATGTATCAACATCTGGGATAATATC